TTCTGTTAATAATACAACAAACCATGAATACAGTGGATCATTGATTTCCGAGAAATTTAATTTTACGAGAAGCCTTTTGCGTGGAATTTTATCAAAAGAATTCTTAAAGTTTAATAATAAGACAGACACAAGGAATCCGTTATCTTGTTTCGGTTTTATGTCATACGGGTAGTCTATTAGGAATGTGTCGCATGACCTAGACATCAGAAACTCATGCTGGGAGGTTGAGATGGCATTACTAGTAAGTAGATGTTGAACTACCACTGACTCAACTATATTTTCCATCACTCTAGAAACCACTGAGGTTATGTTTAGAGGTCCGTCATTTCCAACATTTGCTTCAGGTCCTGTTTTCATTTTGGGAATAGGGTGTGCAGTTTTTCAAGTTCAATGGTAGCACGCTGTAGAGAGTGGTCTCACAAGTAGTTTAAGAAGTATGCCACACAGATTATAACCTCCATTTTTTTAGCATGCTTACTGGAATGCCATCAGATCCTTCTGTGTAGGAGTGTTTCAGTGTGCTTTTTAAATTAGAAATATTCTGTAAGTTGGAGTTTACATTGGTAATTTCACAGGAGGGTAATGAGGTGAGCTCTGGTTTATTTAAAGGATTTTAGTTAGTTGCTTAGGCGACAAATGGTTTACCAAATAGTTCTGTAACAAGTTTTGGATCTTCATATCGTTGACTGTCCTCAATTACTGTGTCTCCTTTCAATTTTGAATGCTGAAGTTTATTTTGAAGGAGTTTGATTAGTGTGTAGAAGTCATCACTAATTTCGATAGCTCGTTGTTTCTGTGCAACTGTTTTTGTGTACTTATTGCCTCTGTCTGGAAAAATATTTCTGTCACTGTAACTAAAGAGTTTGTGGATCTAGATGCAATATTGTCGAGGATACCTTCGTCTACGGACGGGTTTGTACAGGTGTTTAAGAAACTGAGGTCTCCATTATTATAAACTTGTGGCTGTTTTGAAGATATTACTGGTGTTGTGATAGAATATCAGTGTTTAGCAGTGGACTAATTGTTACTTGATTAGGTAAAGCTGGTTGTGTCGATATATGGCTCAAATTCCAGCATATTACTACCCGAGCAATCTGGATTAGACTTAGAAATGTCATTGTGTTTTCTGGTGTCATTTGAAGTCCGTATCTCATTTACAAATTTCTGACCTCTAAACTCATCAAGGTCTATAAAGTGATCTGTCGTTTGCGTATTCACATCACATTCCTTACATTATTGAGAGTTGTCCCAGGTATTATTTTAGCTGTAACTGGACCATCAGTTCTTATCGCTTCACATCTTTTAGAACACTGGCAAGGTGTTAGGTACAGAGTGTCCTTCATGTTTTTATTTGGAATCAATAGGCTAATATTTTTGCTTAAGTTGATAGACTGTGTTGCATCGTTACTATAGCTAGATCCGAATAAGAGTGAACATGTTTATTTATCCGGTTTTTTCCAAGGTGAATATTCTAGAATTAGACAGTGATAGTGATATTTGTAGATAAGAGGCGAAGAGTTTAGAAGATAAAGGGTTGATTTTGTCAAGTACTGATTAGTCAGACATAAGGATTACAGATTTCGACCTTTTGGTTGATTTAGAAGAAGTAGATGATACTCCTCCTTTACTGAACGATTCTAAAAATTAGGTGTTAAGATAACAATTGCGACATTAGCTATCAAGGAAATAAATATGTTCTAATCAGTATAATCAGGAGAAAGAAACTAGTTAGTGTTGACCGTTGGTGGCTTATATAAAATATTAAGAGAGGTCCATGTCAGATAAATGACCATCACATTTTACCTTGTAGGTGTGAAAGTACTCACTAAACAATAAACTGTGATAATCCAAACATAATACACCCTACAAATAAACTTAGTGTGGTTACTGACCAGGCACCTCAGTGGATGGCCCCTGATTTTCATACCGTTGATAAAACTACACGATCATGAAGGTGCTCATTGTACACGTTTCATGACCATAAAAGTTGATACCAACACTTGATGGTCACTTGCTGATGGTGAGATATATTATTTTTGCGGTTATCCTGAATAATAACTATAAGGATAGAAACACATCTGGAAAAAGATGTTCCTGATTGAAGTGAGGTGCAGAACGACTTTTCTGACAAAGAGAATACCTGATATAAATGCAAAATCGTCCTAAAAGTTTTTGACAACAACTCCTACCTGGTTAGTTGAGGTGTCAAAGTACAACGTTACAGGAGGTGGTCTACAACTAAATTGTTCACTAATATACAGTCTACAAGTCTATGTCCAAATGGAAAACTACGAACGACAGAGCATGTGCTGCAAAGAATGACAACAGTCGTCTTACCAACTAAGAAATGGTTGAAACCCTTAACTCTCATTTTGCCGCTTTAACCACAGACACAGATGCTCCCTGATACCACATGATAGTCTGGAAAACAGATATCTAATACTCGGGCTATCATCAAGAAAACTGAAGTAGAGCATGTTGCTAGGGTGTGACAACAATCACCACACACAGCAGTCGAGTGACCAGACTATCCCTTATTGAACGTCATAGATCACCAGGAACAGTATCAAAACAAAGAAATAACTTTGTTTACACTAGGCCGTCACAATGATATTAAGTATTGGATTGGGAAACACATACTTGTGTGAAAACAGTATCATTGAGAACACATCATCCTGAACAAAAATGGAATAAAATGTTTTGTAAAATCAACCGAATTATTAAAGTTACTGATGCTTCTAGCAAATGATTACATGTTTACTTTATACTTGAAATGCCGTGGCATACCGAAGTGTGTTTTTTTATTTGTTTGACACGTTCATTTCTGTGTAAAATAAAAAGATTTTGTATGCAATTATGTCAACATAATACGCAATAGTACTAAAAAGATATTAAGGTACACTTTACAGCGAAAAGAATAGTGATAATAATAAACATTTTTAATAATAATAATAATAATAATAAACATTTTTAAGTACCACAATATGCTGTTTGCATGGCAAGTATGAGTCAAAGTAGTCCGTCTTAGACAATATCTCTGATTGAAATTCAAAATAAAATAATTACTTCTAAAATTTTAAATATTATATTCATTGCTGAACATATAGTTGAAACAGATCAAAAGATGAATCTAAAATTGCCGTTTGTGCTTTTGTATAAAAGTTGTCTGTGGTATGTAATGAATAAGACGATGATATAATCAGATGATAGTTTGCTATTTACAATCTTACCAGTGTCTGATACTGTATGCCTTAGTTGCAACTATACTAATAAGTAAATAGTGGATATCAGATTACTTGTCACTTATTCAAACGATTATTCTAATGTTAATTTTAAAAAATCCAATCTAGCTTTCCCTATGAAATATATCAACTTATAAAGAGGATATAGATTAAGTTCACATTAGATTCAATAGCAACTGTTAATGAAAAAAACCAACGGATAGTGAGTAATTTTATAGAAGAAACTTTTTCGTGACACACAATGTATGATAAGAGGGATAATAGTTTAGAAATGTTCACTTGCATGATTGAATCAATAAATTTATTTGATTTCTACCAATAATTATCTTTAATTGTCAAGAATTTACCCATAAATAATTCACTTTTATTTACGTTATACTTTATGATATAAACTATGAAATATTTCATCACAATTATTATCCACTGAATGGTCCGTTCAACATCAGCCACTTGGACATTTCTAGATATAAGTAAAATAAAAAACATAAATGATATAATATTCCTTGACAATTATTAATACTAGTAATTTATTAAAACATATTTACTTTAAAAAGTAAAGATGATTGTCTAATGTTAGTTTATTATGAGTTTAACTTTTAACTGTTTGATAAGCAGTTAAATGTTGGAGATTTGCAGCTCAGGTGGATGATTTTGGTGGAGTTTTGTTCTCTGAGCTGGATGGTTTGGTCGTGGAGCTTTCATCATTCTTCTGAACGACATCACCAGCACAAACTTCAGATAGAAGTGAAGTGTTCGAATTTCTCCATATGTGTTTCACAGCTTGTTCTGTGCACCTCGATGTTGATTGGCCAATAAGAACCAATCAAAATCGAGGTGCACAGAACAAGCTGTGAAACACATATGGAGAAATTCGAACACTTCACTTCTATCTGAAGTTTGTGCTGGTGATGTCGTTCAGAAGAATGATGAAAGCTCCACGACCAAACCATCCAGCTCAGAGAACAAAACTCCACCAAAAGCAGTTCAATACAAATACTATTAAAACCTTCAGTGATATGATCATATATGGATATTGTAAATCAATTCATTGTAGATAAAAAGAAAACAATATGAATAGTTCTATTTGTTTTATCTATAGGAATATGAAGTGAAATTTATAATCTATATTTTATTTTATGAAATAATCGCCGTTTAAAAGTCAGTTTTCATCTTGCACACTTTCAGTGGGACGCTTGATCAATGCTTCAAACTTTCTACTTCGAAGCATTTGCTATATGACATAAAGATCAGCTATGACATCTGTTCAATTACTGGTGTCTTTTAAACTCCACAGACCATTGAATCCTACAAAAAAGTGTTTAGTTTGGGAAAATTCACTTTCATGTAATACTTCCTACATGTAGTACAATATTGAATGATAGATATTTAATTGAAAGAGTTTTTGAATACATATCAGTAACCATCTAGATTACATTGTTAGAATGTCATAAAGAATTGGATAATATCAAAATTGTATCAACTCAAGTTCACACAACAAAATATTTATATCCAGTGGTCAGTTAAAAAATGCATTTTTCGCCGGGTACAGATTTGCCACTTGTTAATTAAATATATTTGCTTTAACAGTTTTGTATAATAAACATAATTCTTGAATAGCGATATCTTTCATTCAATCAATTCCATATATTTTCGTGTTCTACAAATTAATTTACGAGATTCGAATAACTGAGATTGTGGACTAAGAAACGTATTTAAAATGGTATTTTTGTACAAGTACATGTTCATTTGTATTAGTTATCATTTATTATACGATAAAATTAAAAATTTAAAACAACGTACTTTGCAAATATCTCTACATGGTGGACAAATGATTGAACCGTTAATATCGAAGTACTTTCCTCTTAGACTGAAATCAATGTATTTACCTTTAATAGGACAAACGAGTTCTTTATTTTCAAGAATCAAAATCAATCCTTCAATCTCAGAACATATATGCTATGTAATAGAAAAGTAAATAAACCATATAACATATAAATTAATTGGTGATTCATGTCAGTTTGTAAGGAAGTATGATATTCATTTTTAGAAAATAATACAAAACACTTTGAATATGAAATTTAAGGAAGACACGGCTGCTGAAATCTTAAATAAACAGATTTCAAAATCGTTGAATAAAACGTTCTATGCAACCAAGCTCCGAATTGTTTTCTCTAGCCGGCCTACTATTGTAGAATGTGTTAAGGACAAACTTCCGCTCATGTGAGGCACGTTAAATAGGCCGCATAAAACGATCACTGTCCAAACACATCTCGGAACACTATCTGGATTGGCTTTAAAGGGAGAATGTAAAACAATTACTAGTTTTATACAGGAGCATTTAATTAACTGTGAATACATCGTACCAAAAGAGTCTTCTTTTAAAGTAATTTACAGAGTCAAAGGAACTGAATCGAAAGGATGTCGAATCAATATTTTATGCACTGCTGAAGCATGAACAATCAATGAACTAAAGCCTGAACTTTCCGTACAGAAACAATTCGTCCAACCTCTTATCTTTCTTTGGCCTTAGTTCCCATAAGGGGCATATTTTGGGCCTTTTTCTTCTGTATTTTTCTCTGCACTTGTATTTGATTACCAATGATTTTTTTTAATTTTAAAATTATTGTTTTGTAATTTTAAACTCCAGTTATTATTATTACTTTTAAACAAGTTTTCTTGATTATTATTCAGTTTTTATTATTATGACTTTTATGTTTGTCGTTTTTCTTTATATCGGTCAATTGGACTATTGTCTGACCCATAAACGCTTTTCCTCCTAACCCCTTGATTAGTACGTAACCTCATTTGTGATTTAGTCTGGAATCAATTAATGATGTAATCTTTTCTAACCCCCTATAGATTTATATTTTCCAGATAACAATATATAATCGAATATACAGCTTAAGTAAATGATTTCGTCGAAAAGAAAATTTTCCTAGCTGAATTCTCTTTTCCTTATTCAATGACACTGTGGGTTATTTTAATTATATAAAACATTTCTTTTTATGGCATGAAGTGTATAAACAGAAACCAATTGCATTTTCTTTTGAAAAAGTAACCGTTTAATATAAATAAATTAATATATTTTTAATATCCCAATGAGTAAAAAAATTAGATTTTCCAACGTTTAGTAACTTAGCGTAAGTCACTTCTTCAGGTAATAAATAGTAGCTTGGAAGGATTTCTATTTGGTTATTCACTCTCTGAAGAAGTGGCTTACACCGAGTCGCGAAACGTCAGAAAATCTATTTTTTTACCTATTGGGATAGTATAAATATATTAATTTATTTATAACAATCTACTGAATGCTCGATTTATTCGAAATTATCAAGTCAAATTTTAGTAAGGATACCTATTAACCGGTTAATATATTTGATTGAAAGCATGAATTTTATTAACTGCATTTGTACAAGATAATGTACATTATAATGTGTATAGGAAATAGTTACATGTTCATATCTAAATAACTTTGTAATACAGTTTACAATTGAACAAGATTTATAACACATTTATAATAAAATGATTTCCAACATTTGGCAAATCTAACCAAAGATTGAATAACTTATGAATCACTTCTATTAGATAACCTAATGGATGGTATTAAAGATAGCGCATTGGAAAATTCAACAAAACATTTTGAAGAGAGATGCTTCATCAACTATTAAATTTTGTATTCATTCATGATATGTCAAAATGAATAGCTGCATTCTATATTGATCTCAATGTTTTTTTTGGTTTTTCCAGTATAAAATGAAGAAATACAATACATCTTTTACAAATAAAATTCTTTGTAGTTTAGTCGTTAAATTAAAAAAAGCAAACAATAGTGTCCCTTTATTTTTATCCCGTTAATAATCACAAAACCTGATTTAAAAAAATAGTATATAATTTCTAAACCAAAATGTATATTCATACAAAATCAACCAATTAGATATTCATCAAAGAAAAAAAACAGAACCAAATCAGAATGTTTTTCGGAAAAAATTAGGAAAAAAAAACAGTTACTTTCTTTTGCAATAATCATATTTTATCTGTATAATTTAATACTTACACTCATGCATGAAGATTTGGGTGAAGTTTCCTCGAAAAGTTCATGTTGTTTAGACACTTGCCAGTGTCTGGTACTGTCATGGTTTATGCACATAGAAGATTTACCAAAGTAATGAAGCATGTAGTTTTTGTTTTCGTCTTTAAAAGAAATCCAAAACAATTTGCATCATTCATAATGAATATGGATTAGATTTTCAATTTAATGCAGGATTTATATTGTTACAGAAAGTGAAATGAAATGGTAGAGATTTGTCTTACTATATTATAAAACGGCTCTCTATTCTCAAAGTGATAGAATCTTAGTGATGATTTGTAAGTTTATTACTAACTTTTATTTTATTGAGTTTGGTACATAACGATTTTTTTTAATATTAAGTTTTAAGATCATATTTACATGACATTGTCTTCACAAAACTAGAGTTATTATCATATGCTCACTATTAACTAGCTTTCATATTGATTTTTCGGAGCTCAAATGAGAAACGATTTGTAAGAGTGATCTTCATCAAAAGAGATAGTAATTAATAATTAACAATGGACCAGAATACTGGTACACTTTAGAATAAGTCCCACTGAATATAGAGACTATTAAATTAGAATTCAGTGCTTAAAGCAAAATATTTAAGTTATGGGTCTAGAGTTGTGCTGGTGGGTCTTAAATTACAGTGAACTACTTTTCTTATTCTCCATAGTTTTAAGTAATCATCATTTTCATTTTTAATAAAAACTATCTTCAAGTAAAAAGTGTCTAGCTATAACTCAAATAAGTGGATCAAAGCTAATCGATATAATAACCGCTTTACTTGTTAATGTGTCGAAACTAATGTAAAACTAGAAAATATTGAAAATTCTGAAATTTCACTAAAAATAAGTTCGTCAACTACACAGTATGTATGGTTTTTGTTATTAGTCTTTAAAATATCAAACACGATAATGTATTATAACTTACGAACTTCAGACTGTTTTTCGGGAGTATTGCAGTATGAATAAATATTTCTCGTCCCAGTAAATGGCTAAAATTTCAGAAGAAATGCCTTATTACAGACTTTGGTTAAAGTTTTGTTCATCGTACTACTGCCTATCTTGGAAGTGCTACTGTAGTGAACAGGAACACCAGTGGGGACAATCGAATGTATTTAACAAAAAATTACAGGACTTGTTAATAAAATCTAACAATCATAAAGTAAATGCTTAATTAGTAAAATGTCCATCACCTATCTCAAAATGACTCAGACTTCATTGTTCTTGTATTTTCATTTAAAAATGGCATTCAGTTTCCAATGTTTACTGTTCGATCCTCTTGTCTCTCTGCTGCCAGACATTCTGTTCCTGACTAGCGTCATATACTACTTATGTCAATGTAAGTAGCACACATCACATTACCATCTTCAAGTTAATATGAACAAATGGCTGTCATTTTGACAGTAACCTCATTTATTATTTTCATTTTCAATTTTCGAAAATGTAACAATGAATGTTCGTGAAACCCCAATGTTTCTTTGGCTGTTTTCGGTAGTCTTATTACTATTCAAGCTGATTCTTCAGACGTTTTGTTTGAATATTGTATTAATTGTAACATTCTATTCAATCTATTCTTACGCTCTGCCAATAAGTGCTCACATTGGCTATTGATCAACAGTATTTTTAATCCTGATATTTAAGTATTTCAGATCTTAAGTACAAAGTAAATTTACTCAATTTATTGTTTATACTTTGCTTAAGCAGACTAGTTTTAACTTAGTAAATCCCATTATATAGAGGATGATTCGGAGATGAATAGTCTCTATTTGAGAATTCTTTTTATGAAGTATTTTAAATCAGTATGTTTTTTACTAACTCGACCAAATGCCTTACTATGGTTGTTTTGATATAATCCAGGTCTGCAACTAGAAACTAAAAATGGAAAAATTTTTCTTGCCTCACTGGGTTCCAAGGTCCTTTCTAATGAAGATGAGGAATAAATAGTGCTATGATACCAGCAGTTCTGACCTTACATCTAAATTAATAGCTTGTATTGAAGGTATGTGTAAGTACTATACCCAAACGTTAGAAACAGTTATTTTATTATGATGATAATTAAGAATATAAATCACTTAACCACATAGGCTGGACAATAATCTCGGTAACGGTCAGCTGCACCAAGTCTTGGATTATCAAAGTACTGAAATTCAAGTGGCAGAGGCGAATAATATTGCTTCAGATCGCAGAAACCATATGCATTTTCATGCTTTAGACAGAGAGTGTTACTGAAGCTTATTTGATCACAGTATGGGTAAAAACATTGTCTTCTAAAAGAATAAAAATTTAAAATTGTACTTTTTTAATGTGTTGAAATCATAAAAACAAACAGTTATAGTCGATTACCAATAATTCACATGCTGTTTAGTTCATGTAACAATTTAGCATTTGTTATAGCATTCACTGTATTATTGAAGTACCTTTAGTTAAACCTATTTTTAAAATGAAAGAAAACTTTTCGGTTGATTATTTAGTGAACGCCTGTGTTACATCAAAATTTTTCGGACTTCTTCGATCAGAAAACGAACAACGATTTCTCGGTGCTATTAGTTTAGCACCGATATAAAAACGGATTTTTCAATACTTTCGAGCATGACAGTGAAAGAGAACAACCGTAAGGTATGTTGGTTTTTATAACGTATATTTTGTTACTTACGGCACTTGCCTTCCTCAAATGAATACTGTTCAAACAATTAAAACGACTCAGTAATGGATAAAAGCCATTACTTTTGAATTAATAATGTACTAGTGAAATAGTTAAAATAAACACATTATATCAATTATACAATGGTCTTACATAAAAGATTGCGTTCAAAAATAAATTTATTACCTTTCTCGTTGAATTTGCATATACTCATAACAACTTTTCATAACGAAATTACAACCAAGATGTTTACCATATCCCATTGGATTAGCTTTTGAATAATCCACACGGTACCATCTAAGTTAATAAAGAAATGATTACGAAATTAAAGTAATGTATCTTTGAAAGTAACACAACGAAAATGTAAAGGAGCTAAAAGTATTAAGTTTATTCAACATTCATGAAATGAAAACGGGAAAATCAGTCTAACATCAATCTGTTCAATATCTCAATCAATAACTTAATAATCTCCATAACCCCATACTGGTAAAAATATTAAATCGACTTTAGCATTTCATTGCGAATTGAGTAGGCTCAAAACATTCTAAAAAAGTAGTATTACTAGTATTTAACCTTTAGTAACTTTTTAGTAAAAAGAAAACTTCACATTTCTTCTTCATATGACTAGTTTGCATTTTGAAAAAAAATAAAATTCTATGAAGCGAATCCTAAAGTATAGGATAAGTTATTTAATATGGTGATCGAACTACGGGCTAAAAACATGGATACAATCGTAGTAATGAGAGGTATAGTGAATAACCGAAATTATCAGTAACTCCGATAGTTGTACGTAAGTTAAAGTTTTCATGGATTAGAATAGCTGTATGCAAACAGTTCGCTTAATTCAAACTGATTCAATGTGTAGCCGTTTTAGTCCAATACGATTGAAAGCTTGCTTACATACATTTGGAGATAATTGCTTTTGTAGATTGGTTCACGCAATTAGTGAACCATCCATGGGACTTATAAAATTACTACTTTAAAGAGACCGAATTTATGATAATTCGTTTCATAGATTAGAAATTACTGTGGATAATATTCTACCTCCTGTTGTTCTCTTGAGAGAGAGGTATTTATGACACTGAGAACATAACATTCTGAAATCTATATTTCAGTTGCCTAAATTCATAGTTCAGACTAGTAAATACAAGAGGCATTTACTGTTTTCTCGAATTTTTAACTAGTGTTATGAAAAAATACTTAACTTATAGCTCTTAAGGCATCTGAAAATCCAAGATTTAGCATATATTATTTAGATGTAAAATCAAAAATTTAGACCTACCCAGTGTCTTCGAAAAATCCAAGTGTGATTTTCGATATATATGAACGTGATGAAAGGAGAGGTGTCATTAATTCATTCTGTATATAGAAAAGTTATATTATTAATTTAATACTTTCTTGCATCTACAGTTCGGAAATTCGTAAAGTTTTGAAGTTTATTCGTGTAAACATGGAATTGAAGATAACACCTACATTTAAGTGGGCCACGCTTTTCATTAGGAGACTTGAATCTTGCAATGATGGTCCGAATTCATGACAGTCATAAACTTCCTGTGGCAATCGAAACAGTGAATAAGTGCGGTCACTCGTGACTGAAAAACTGGATCTAAATCAACCATCTGTTTGGACGACTGTAGAAAATCCTAGAACAACCAAAGAGTTTAATGTCCTAACTTTTAAAGGCTTCTAGTACTACTCTGGCCAATGGAAGGAAGGGGAGGTAACTGTATTGGTAAAAAGGAAGAGTAGATTGAAGAGGATTAGATAGGTTCTTCAAAACCAATATTTGTATACATTTTGATCAATTTATGTATTTATTATGCAGAGTAGCACAAGTTTGAGTTCATTTGTTAGTCTACTAAAGATCAGTAGAACGCCAATTAAATAGCAGAATAAATAATAGCTTATTAAATATTGATAATCAAGACGACGTTTTATGTAGAAATCAAATAGATTGAATAAAGTAGGGAAGACAGCTGAAGCTACCCTTCAGCTCTACTTTCTATAATTTTAGACTCACCAGGTGATACTGTTGTTATGACCACTATTTGCTTTGTTTTGCATTTTAAATCACTGATTGACTTTTTATCAAATATTCAGTGAAAATCAAGGAGTATTAAGTTGTTATCACATTCTAGGGACTACTCAGCAGTGCATACCCACGACTCTGTTGGAAATTGAACTTAGGACACTCAGGTCCCACAGGGAGAGCTTAAACATTAGACTACTGAATCGGTATTCGGTAGTTTAAATGTTTAACTTCAATCTGTTTATCGTTGATCATTTTTCAGTGTAGCTGATGGAAACTATTTTACATTCCATATGATTAAACTTCGTTGGTTATAGCTTCTCACAAACGTTCAGGCAATTCTCTCTTCAAACTAGTCACTGGTGATCATATGATTATGGTGTTACTTTATTGTCACCTATTAAAAAATCAGAAATATTTTCATAAAATAATGATATAAATATCAAGCTACACACAAAGTACTCACATCAATTAGCCTTTTTTCAAGATGACCTCTAGCATACACTTGATCGTTGTTATCAAGTTCAACACCGTCAAGTTCGTGACAGTTGAAGTATTCTTTCGCCATTTTCTAAGTTTATAAAGGTTCGGAAAAGATATTTTACTGTCAGTTACTTCTTAACAATAAATAAATGGCACACTGTTATGAATATATTAATTCATAATATGTTATAATCTTATTATCAACGTAAGACTAGTAAGCAAAGATGGATAGTGGCTAACAGTGGAATCCAGGACGCGCGTTTCGTCCTCTTTGGGACTCGTCAGTTGGATGCACCTGCATCCCAGAGTTGATGTTCACCCTGGCTATATCGAGGCAATTCTCACAGGATGCACAAATGACAACATGAGAATGATCAATTGCAGTCCTAAATAACAATGGGAAGATACAAGTAAAACAACACCACGTGAAAATAAGACTAGTAAACCATCGGAGATTCACAAATTGAACTCTTTGAAATCGCGAGTAAGCAGTTTTTCAAATAAGAAGGAAAATATATCGCTAAATGTTCTGAAACAAGAAGTAATCCAACAATTTTAATTTCCTAATCGTGTATATCAGCTCTCAAATTATCTAAGTTTTAAAAAATAAACTGTACTGTATTATTTGTTCTTAAAGGATATTTATCTTAATGACAGTGAAATATGTAACTAAATCTTCGAAATATTTAGGTCTATTTAAAACTTAGGTTTGGTACATGGGAATTTTCCCGCTTAGAATATCTTCGGATCACACAGATTAGTTATTCAAGACGTCAAAAACTTTGTTGGTGGAAAAAATTTGGGCATAAATTCTTTACACTTATTTAAAATAAACACACTAAAATGCCTGTTGTGCTTTTCACTTGTTCAAAGTGAATCTGATATGAGATAAATTTAATAATATATTCTTAAAACGATCTTATCCAACATTATACTCGTAATTTTGAGATGTCATCATAATAAATGGAACATGATTGCTTATTTTTGGTACATGAGTTTGCTGCCAATTACAAGAAAGTAAAGGTTATAACCAGTGATGAAACATTTCTAAAACCTATCATCTCAGGTAGGGTTCTACAATAAGGTTACATTAAGTTTTATACACAGTTCGAGACAAATTGTTATAATCTAATTATGCTTATAACACAAGAACTGGTCATTCAGTAAAAATAAAAAAATGATATCTTTCCTAAGTCTAACTAGCGTCCGATGACTCAGTCACATCTCCAGTAATTGGTAACAGCTAAGAAAGAAAGTTCTTGAGATCTGGTGAACAATATTTCATGTAGCATCTGTATAAAACAGCGTACGCAAAACGTGAGAATTCTCAGATCATAGAATAGAAACGACTATACACGAAGTTGTGTGCCTAAGTATAGGCTTTGTACACATACTGCTAGATGTAGCATTGCATTTTAGAGGTTCACCACTGTGAATGAATTTTAAAAGACAGAATTTGTGTTAGTAACCATTATAGAAAACATTCTAAAAACTATCTGTTACCTTATGATTATTCAAACCATTAGAAAATCTACACATTCCATCATCTTTCTTTTTCAACTTACCAATTTAGCATTTAGACTGCACACGAGAACAATTAAAAATGCTCGCATCCTATTCTTATCCAATCAAAAGTACATTCATAATTCATCCATATTTACTAAGAATCTGTCACACTAACTGAAATGAGTTTTTTAAGCTTTTTGACATTACTTATTCAATGGGATGACACAAATATGTTTGAATGATTGATTGATTTTAATCGTTACCGTTACTTTTAAATCCGATTTATTTATTCGTTTTATGATAGCTTTCTGAAAAAACAACAAACCTGAATGTCTGTTTTATCCTTATTGGTCAGATTCAATTAAAGCCAATTCAAAATATCTATGTTAGCATATTTTACTTGCAAGAAACAGAAACATTCATAAACTCCTCAGAAAATCAATACAATTCAATTTGTTTTTCCACATAATAATTGGTATTATTAGATGAACACTCTAGTGACTGTAATTATCTGTCCAATACTATCTCATCTACAACATCATTAAACTAAAGGTGTATTCTGTTTCTATTAGTTAGCAAGATGTGCTTCCAGTGCCTCTTCATTTTCGAATGGTTATAACTGACAAAGAAGATGGAGTCAGAATGAAATCTGGGTTTCTATAGCCTTCCCTGTATTCATCCTCTCCTCTACAAACTGAACTAAAAGATTCAAGTAATAACTAGATTTCAATTTCGCACGATTATCATTAGTGATTGGCAACTCATATTGAAAATTAGTCTGATAAAAGGAATTTACATGATAAACTCTCCTTCACAAGAAAAGATAATAGGAAAGTGTCAACTGAAATAAAGTGTAAATCAAGTCATCATGTGAGGATCAAGACTTAGTAAGCTGGTAGCACATAGATAATTAGTTCAAATAGGTCCGTTTATTTGTTCAACATTATCTCTACCATTCAAGACTATTTTTAAGCACTCGACATAAAATTAACGTTACTCAATTTCTTCAACATAGCAGACGTTTATATATGCAATTAAAAACAAACTCACCAGCATCATTGGTGTTTTAAGCGCAGTCAAATGTCGATAAACTGTTGTTTTAGCAGACTTCCAAATACGAGTAACATTGCTTAAAACTGATTCGCTAAACGTTTCAAAACAATAATACAAAAATATTTCGTTTACGATGACATTTGGATCAATTATTATAACTTGTAAACACTTTTTTCAATATCATATTTTCATCAAGGCCATATGATATCGCAGTAATTTTGTATCTTTGAGAGTGAAATAAGAAGCATAGTTAGACTTAACAAAACATCTATACTATATGTATCTTAACTACTACATTGTCTTAATGATTGGATAAGTAGTAAGCCTTACTGTAAAGTAATATGGCTTTTAATTTAATTTACCTAGGATATGTCTAGATAATAATTTTAACATGTGGTTTACTGGGAATGTGTATATATATTACCATACATATTAACCTTATGGATGATAATAGTTGTCAAACATGTTTGTTTTTTATCTAGTTAACAAAACAAAGTATGAATCTAGGATAGTTCAATATTATTTTTTTGTTCTTAGTTATAACTCGCGTTAGTGTAACCGTTCATCTAAATTAACTGTACTTTATAGGATTCATTATATAATAGAATATTATTTTTATTTGCTGTGTCTATTGTGGAAGATCATAGGCAATATAAAACTCTTTTTAAAAATTCACACAAAATTTCAACTTCAGTCTGTTAAGAAGTCAAGCTTATTGGATCAAGTTATATTTCGATAGATGACACTCTAAAATTCGAGATTCTGTTAAATTTATCATTTCAAACTAAACGCAATAATGAAGTTTTAATAACCCATATTTCACATCAAAACAATTATTTCTCACTCTGGAATTCTGTATCCTAGTGAATCCGTTAAAATAGGCTCATTCGTAGCAGGTTCACGCATCGTTCTTGGTTCACCACGCTCGTCTCTCATATATCTGAAAGCTTCCGAGTTGAAACCCTTTTTAAAATATAAATGAAAACTGATTAGATTAGTAAAATATAAGAGGATACTAGAAAAAATGTGAGTTCCCATATTAAAAGCCTATCATCAAATGTAGCATTAACTAGTATAATGAAAATAAATTTAATATACTATTATAAAAGTATTACGTTTTTAGCACCGATATCCTAAGAAACGATTATATGGTATTAATTTGTGATAAATCTCTCAAACTTGTTCAAACTCCATCTGGAGCCCCTCTGGGGCTATGATAACATTTCGTTATCATAATTCAAAATTGATGATTAAATTTCCTTAAATTCTGCTCAGACATAATGAATAAATTTGAAGATTTAACTTGAAATATCTGTTCCGGTAGTCATTAATTGCTAGTTATGTGTTTGACCATCAACATAGGATTAGTTACAATAGTGACTAAATACACATTTATATGTTATCAGTTTAGAAAACTATATTTATTCTTATTTTAAAAATAAATCAATGCAGATTACCAAAACGTGGCCCAATTCGTGTGCCATAGTTGAAATAGCCAGTCTAATATTTTCATAACCAAGTTCTATGTTATTCGGGCAGAGATTTGTGTAGCCAGCTATTGGCCTACAAAATGAAACAAATGAAATTACTACCGAACTGTTTAAAATCGTAAATTACACTCCAACTAGTTACCAGTCGTCAATAGTTTAACATAACAGCTGGTCAACATCACCATTGAACCTGGCACCAACAAGAGAAGAAATCAATCAAATAAAATTTAAAAAGGACTGTTATATCAAACGCGATGAAAATCCAAGTGTAAGAAATAATAAATAAAGAAGGAAAAGGAAGAACTTACACTGAAGTCAGCATTTAAAGGAGTATAGTGAATGAGTAAAGCAGCACCAGTGCAAACTTTACTGTACCATATCATATGTTTTGAAGAAAAACATGTCTAGAAATCATCATTACTATCAACAATTATTTTCAACCTGGAAGTTTAGTGACTCGTTCAAGATAAGCTTAGGAAGTTTCAAGTAAGAATAAACTCAATTTATGGTTATTCTTAATCCTATGGAGTTTTCAGGTCAAATGATTTCTGACTGGAGACTACATTTAAATGTTTGAAATATAAAGTCATAAATTAAATAACATTCGTCCTATGACAGAATGATTAGACAAAATCATGAACTTAGTCTTATTCCACAAACATCGCACCTTTTTAGGACATTAACCATAAATGTATTTTGAATAAATGTTTAGTGATTCTTGAAATGTATATTAAGTGAGAAACAATCAATTCGTATTTCCAAACATACATTATAGAAGTAGCGTCCCGTATCTACATAATTTACAAAATTGATTTCACGTCATAACATCCAGTACATATTGCATAGACAACTAGAACTTGTGCTAATTATAAAGTTTATAAATTTTGTTTCTACTAATTAGTAAAGAAACACAATACAGACAAATATGATTCTTCCAAGTTTGTTTGTCTTAAATCAACTAACCTGTCTGTTAGTCCATCCAACCTGCAAAACTGTGCATAACCGACAGTGTTTCCACTTCGACAAAGGGAAATTGTCTGTGAATCAACAATATATAATAAGTGATGAAACTTTATGCCTTTTCCACGACGTCCACTTATTTTGGGTTGTCCATGTACATATGTATGACAGTACTAGTTATAAATAATAAATTATAAGTAATTTAGTGAGTAGTGTAATAAAAATGAAAAATACAAATCTTGCTTTTCTAAAATACCTGATAATTGATTTACATATTCTTCTACAGAGAATAATTAATTGAAGCTTCAAGTAATGAAACCTGCAGTAGACAACAACTCTATTTTCTCAAACCATTTCAAGAATTTCAAATTAAATTGTTCTCATGAATAAACCCTAATGTTCATTGCACATTATTATTATAATTAATGGTTTGATTGTTTATCAATAGGTTATATATTAAATGATTAGCTTTCAGTTCTTATTATTAAGTAGCTGCATTGGCAATTTGTTGAGTATTCAGGAAAATCACCTTTAAACTAGAAAAGAAATTGTTTGTGCTGTTGAATGGTTGATAATAAAACCAAATAGGAATCGCTTTATTAACGATGGTTATATTATAGATAATAAATACCAGTGATAATATCTATGGTAAACTAAAGATTGAATTTATTTTTATCTATTTTGTTTTGTCATTATTCTACTCAGATTTATTTTGCTTAGAAATGCACTTTGACTTCCATATAAACGATAACAATTTTGTGCTGATGTCAGAGAATCATTTCTTCTAAAATTTCTTTCTGCTCAGTAGAATCTTCACAGTGTAAAATTGCAAATAATAATGTCTATCTTGATGTAATCAATGTTCGGAATTTTCTACCTTTATAGATTTGAAGTATTAAAACTAATCGAAATAAAGTGAATTCTTTGTAAATTTTACAATAAAGGATAAAAAAACACCAAATATTCTTCAGAATAAAATAGACAAAGGGATAAGTTCTTTTCAGAAAGCTTGAAATGTTTGCAATTTTATCACTGAATGAAATTCACTTACATCTAAGTACATTTCTGGAATAACACCATGATAACATTCTGATACCTCCTTACATCCTTCTCTACAGTAATAAAACCGCGTACCATTAGGAAGTATCTTTGCGTCTTTAGAATGATTTATACAACTTCTTTAGTAAAACAAAAAATACAATGTTATTAACAATAAATTACTCTGATTTAGAAAGTTAACAGTATGGGGTTGCGGAGATGGGTAACATTTTGATTGGGATCATGATCGATAGATTTTATACCACCATTAAAAACCTGGAAGCACTGGACGACTGTTTCGTCATATTGTGGGACTCCTCAACAGTGCTCATCCATGGGATTCGAACCCAGGGCCTTCGGTCTCGCGTGAAGACGGTTAATCTTTGAACCACTGAGACGGGATCGAAACGACCATCGAGTGCTTCCAGGTTTTTAATGGTGGTGTGACATCAATAGATTTAGAAAGCATCAATAACACTAAGACACTTCTTGAAACAGTATTGCTTACATCTAATCTTGTGTATTTTAACCACGATCTATAGCTTAGTTTAACATTCATGGTGATTTTAATACGAAATAAGTCATTAGGTGATTAAAAATGCAACATAAGATAATTATAGATATGTAAGGCTATTTGTTATTATTTATTGTTATTTTACATCAGTTCAGTTCACAATAACTTCAATTTGTATTATGTTTTTTGTCATAACCCCATGGATTCAAGTTTTCAATACTCAGGTAATCACATTTCGTAAAATACTTTGGAATGTTTGTCGAATTTAAGATGTGAACTTTTTATGGATCTACTTTTCTAATTAATACTTGAAGAAATAAAAAGTAATGCATAATTCTCTTTCATCTTCAAAGTTTTTTTTGTTTCTTCATATTAAAATGTTCTTTAATGAAAATCAACAATATTAATAAGTTTTATTGAATTATTAACATTCCGTTATTCAACTAGCATACACTTAATGCAATCCTTGAAATTATTATTATATATATAAATAAAATAAGAGTTTAATAAATTAATATGAAGAAGTAATAAACAGTAGCCCTCAAATACCCTGATAAGGCCAAGGATATGGAGAGCCAGCTCTCACTCCCTCGAAATGCTCTCACATGGCCAAGCGTATACAGCCATTACCAAGGAAGTCCTACTCACTGTCTCCTTGTGGCGGGCGTGCTGTTTACGAAATTGAGAGGACGAAAAGCGAATGTCCGGCATTTGAATCGAATGAGTGGACACGGAGAGTTTACCTATGAGAGTTGGAAAACCCTGATTCGAAACTAATGTTGTACATGGGCTCCAGGATCCTGAAGGAACAAATGGTGTATGAACCAATTGTTGGTCACTAGCTACTACGGGACTACATCTCCTGACGTAGCTCCACTGCCTTGTGAATCAGACTTTTAGGTTAAAGGCTCCGGGTCTGGCCCTCCAAGAAAACCACCTGCTTCAGTCTGAGCACCCAGGCAGTATCACAGCCCACATACAAATGAAGCGACTTATGTGGCGCATATGTGTTCAATGACCACTTGTACGAATATTCATAGGTTTAAATAAGTAAATAAATAATAATGAATAGTAGAAACAAGTTTTATTTACCTGGATAAATAAATTAGATGTTTAGATCTTGCTTTTACTTTTAATA